GCACAGCCAAGTCATTGTTCACAGTGAAAAATGCAGTTCATGAAACAGAAGTCAAGAGTGTTTTTCTTTTGTTTTTAAATATTTATATTTCAGGGGCTGGGGATTTAGCTCAGCGGTTGGGTGGCCTGCCTTGCAAGCGCAAGGACTGGAGTTCAATCCCTGGTACCAAATAAATAAATAAATATTTATATTTCAGCTCCATTTTGTAGTTTTGATGGATTATTAAAAGCAGTATTAGAGAAGGAAAGAGAAAAACATGTGCCCAAAGGCATTTTGTTACTACTCAACTTTAGCAAGCATCCTCAAAATTTTGCCATTTGGTTTGGGAATACTATACAGTTTATAAAGTTGTGTCTTCTTTCCAATCAGCTTTCCACACTGCACAGAATTTTATAATTGTTTTGATTTTGAATGTTAGAATTTCTCAGATGGTTATAAATTTGCAAAAGTATAGAGAAAGGAAGCAGCAAGTAGAAGACAATGAAAATATAACAAAAAAACAGGAATCATATTGAGAAGTGTTTTCTAATTTCTGTAGTATGTTATTAACTTGTTGGTATACAAACACAATTTTCAGTTCACTGATTTTCGCATCAGTTTATGACTTTAATGCTGAAAAGTCTTAAATGCAGAAAGTACAAATGTGCATAATCCCAGATCTCTTCCAATATAAACTCTCAATGGTGACCCCTATCAGAATCTTAGTGCAATTCTTTTCTAAGGATCAACTATGATTATAAAATGTTTATGTGGTTTATTTGTATGAGGGTCCATCTCTATCTCTGTATGCCCATTTGTGTGTGTCTGTGTGAATACACATTTGAACATAACAATAAGGAAAATTATTCTAGACAGAACTCTGATGGTGCAGTATGTGTCTGAACTCTGTCTTTTGACTTCTTTCCTTAAAATAAAGAGGTTATGTTAGATTCTGTTCTTTGAAAGTTTCTGGGTAAAGAAATTAAAGCTGTATTTCTTCAAATACCTGGTGGAGATTGTTAGAGGTCTCACTGAACTATTTTAAATAGAAATACAGAAATGTATCTTTATAATAATAAGGACTACACTCCATCTCAGTGATGGACTATTTCCCTAAATCAGGTCGGTTTTCTCGGACCGACTCGTCTGTTAAGTATTCTGTCAGTGTTTGTTGGTGTTCGGAAGGCTGATCCCCATTTCATTCCTCTTCATAGAATGGCTCAAAAGTAGATGTTATCATCAGAAAGCACCTGCTTGTTCCTGAGGAAGGAAGGAAAGACTTTAAACCTGTTGTTGGTCATTGTTTTGTCCTGGTGTACTGCATGGTTTCTAAACATAATATACAGATCAGAGCTTAGAGACAGCTTCTTCTCCATACCTTCAGGCAAGAATCTTTGGTCAGACAGCAGGAATAAATTTCCTGGGGTTTTCCTACTGCACAGCTCTCTTGTGGATTCTGAACAAAGTAGAACAATATGTGGTCAATCCAGGTCACACTATGTAAATCCCTTTACTTCATTATGAAAAAATTATGAAGATTAAGCTTCTGATCCTAACAAATCTCTGATCTCTGAACTGCTTAATCAGTGGTGTAGACGATCAGAGAAGTAGCCACTTGATAGGTAGCACCAAGCGTCCTTGACTCTGGGATTGTGAATGGTGAGCACAATAAGGGCTTTGCTGTACGGTTTTGTCCACCACGCATAGCACATGGTACCTTTTACCTTCTCTGAATTAAGGTGGAGCCATAGGATGCAGTGCTGGAAACACAGAAGACAGGGCTAGTGTCGAGAGTCACGTATCTGCCTGGTTCTCTCAAGATCCTATAACCTGGAAACTTCACTTCTCATTTCACTGTATGCCGGTGAATAACAACATCCTCAAAATAAAGCAAGCTGCCTCTGGCATTTGTATTGAAGGAAACACTAAAAGCAATTAAGCATTTAATAGAGAACTGGACTTCCCAAAGAATGAGGATACAGGAAAGAAGCCATCTGGTATCTCCTCTGTTTGGAGGAAATCGTGATTTGTTCTCAAAACCACAAAACTATTATTATTATCTATTATTATTACCTTAGCAGACAACTTGGTGATCACATAACACGTTAATCCAATTTTAGTGGTCAAAGAATGGCTTTAAGGATGCCACTCTTTGCAATCAAAGCATTGACTTCATTTCCACATTGTTTTGACCTGTCAGGATGGCTGATGCATTTACAGATATTTTGTCTTCAGTCACAGAGGGAGAGGTAAAAGGGTCCAGAGCAATTCTTTCATGCACATGTTCTTGTTTGTTTTGAGTGGCCTTCCATTTTTATTATACTGCACATATGTTTCCTTGGAACAATTGTGTCACATTACTCCCCCGTATACAAAAGAAGTTGGGATGGTTATGGCTTCCTTTGCTGGAGACTATAAAACAAGAAAGCCCACAAAGGAAAAAACAAAATGTCACTGTTATCTGAGGGAGAGTTTGTCTCCATGGGCGAATAACAGTGCCTGTGCCTCCGGTGTTACTTATCCTACAATATGGTCAGTACTGAGAACATGAGATAACAGCTACCCAGATAATTCACTCTAAAGGGCTCCTACAAATGTCACATGTAAGATCTATGACCTATGCTATTTACTTTATCTGCACCTTTTTCTCTTTTCTCTCCCATGGCGCTAATGTAAATAACTACCTCACTTGTATCTTGTGAGACTTAAACCTAGAAAAAACACTTAACAGATTTTAAATAATTAATGATGACTCGATGAAAAATAAAAGTTTCAATGAATACTAAATGTTGAGCCTTGCCAAACCTACTATTTTTCAATCTAGACTGATGAGCAAGGTGAGAAAAAAATAGCCACACACGGAAAGGACAATATATGTACATATTTACCACAAAACAAATTGTAACTGAAAACTTAGGTCTAAAGACAAGCAAACAGGGACATCTTTAAAATAGGGGTAACAACTTAGGAGCCCTCTCCCCTCGTGTGACTGAGTGTGTAGAACAGCTTCATGAAATGGAGTGGCCCATCTTCCACACCAAACTCCATCTTCTCAAGTCAGAAAAGCAGCCGATTTCCTTGGCACGTCACATCACAGAAGCTCTCAGGGCAACGGCAGGGTTCACGCCATGGGTTCACATCAGTCAGGTGTAACGATTCTGGGTTGTTTGAGGCACAGCGCCCTACAGAACTTTATGCTGTGCAATTTGCCTCCTTTCTTGTTCTCACACCTGGTAAAGCACACAGAATCCCCTTAGGTTTTTTCACAGCGTTCATTCCTCCTGCAACTGCACAATGACTGTGACTTGGCTTTACGACTATAGTAAATCAAATGAAAGTGCGTACACAACAGTTTGAATAATACAGAGAAAGACCCAAGTGGACTGATGTTTTAGCACTAAAGGGAAAGTCAGACTGAGCCAACCCATAGTGCTGTTAGGTTAGCCACGTAGTGTAACAAATAAACGATCGAAGATGGATTTAAAAGAAATGATGACATCACTGTCAGTTGAGCTCTTTTCTTTTAGGGTTTGAGACACTTCACTGTAAGTCTCCCAGCCTTTAAAGTCTGTGTTGAGAAATCTGCTGTAATTCTATTGGGTGTAACTTTGTCTTTCTTTCTTTTTTTTTTTTTTTTTTTGTACTGGGGATCAAGCTCAGGACCTTGCAGTTGTGAGGAAGGTATGATGCCACTGAGCTAAATCCCAGGCCAGGGGTTTAACTTTATACATTGTCTTTTGATTTTCTCTGTCAAACTTTAAGATTCTGTCTCAAGGGCTGGGGATGTAGCTCAGTGGCACCACGCCTGCCTTGCAAGTGCAAGGTCCTGAGTTTGATCCCAGATACAAAAAAAAAAGATATATATATGTATGTATATAATGTCTCTTTGTTGGACATCTGGAGTGTGAACTGTGACGTGTCAAGTGGGGATTTTTCATTGTAGTTACATGGTGTTCTGTAAGCCTTGATTACCTGTATGTTTTATTGTTTCTCATACTTGGACATTTTTCTGCTATGATTTCTGTAAATATTTTTATTCCATGTATGCTGCCTTTTAATTTCGCTCTAACTCCAGTTAGTCTTGTTAGTCTTCTGAGTGTCATCTAGTAGCCAGTGGATGAACTCTTTTCCTTGCTCTTTTATTCTTTTTCAGGATCTCCTGAGTAAGTCATGGTGAGTTTCCATTTTGTCCTCCATTTCTGAAGCTGTCACCACCAGTGATCACTGCTGATATTAATGAAATCTGTAGAAAGTTTTATATCTAAGGTTTGTTTGCATTTTTCATGGAGTCTGTGTCTTTGGAGGATTTGTCATCCATATTTTGAACCATATTGTTCAGATCTTTCAATTTGTAATTCATTTCTTCCATAACCATATTGGTCATTTTGTATATTAATTCCATTGTTGTTTGGGTTGTGTCTTCTTTGAACCTGCTGAGTTTGTTTAGCTCTCTCTTGACTCATTTCACACAACTGTCTGTCTGATATTTGCTTTCCTCTCCATACGTGCTTCTTGGGTCTTGTATGAAAGATTTGAGATCTTTGTAAGCATTTTGTTGCCTTGATTTTTCATGTTCCTGTGGCAGGGGTGGTGGGATTTGAGGTCAAATAGAGTGAAGAAAGTTTGTTGTTGGTGTAAGGATCTCTTAGTTTGTTTTCCAGTGATGGAAAACTTGGCTTTATTTATCTAGTGATGTTGCTAACCCTTTGTACCTATTCAATTTAATTGCACTGGACCCTCTCACTATATTATAAGGAGAGAATTTTTACTGGCTATGTATGTCAACAGAACCAAGCTTACATCAATCATAAACATTAAAACTTGTTTTGATCATTTCACCCTTTTATCGATACCTCTTGTAGCCCACCGGGATGTGAGGGTGAAAGGATGTGTAAAGGAACTACAAAGGTGGGACGGGGATTTAGCTCAGCGGTTTGCTGGCCTGCCTTGGAAGAGCAAGGACCCAAGTTCAATCCCCGGTACCAAAAAAAAAAAAAAAAAAAAAAAAAAAAAAAGTACAAAGGTATGTCAGTACGGAGAGACGAAGGTAAGAGAAACGCCAATGGGTGAGAAAAAACTGCAGGTCACACTCTGTTGAAGTTATTTATAAGTGAAGTAAAGGACTTGTGTTGAGGGAACTTAGAGAGTAATACGTAGGCAAGAGAAAGTATGAGGAGGAGTGGAATTTACGTAGCGATTTAGAGGGGCTATGAGATTGTTAGCATCTGTTGAGGTATTTGTGGGTAATATTGTTTCATTCCTCCAAGATTAATTTTGTTCAGGGTTGCCCTGACGTGCCCTTCAGTAGTATTGTTTAACTTGTAGTGCGGATTAGTTCTTCCTCTCTAGGGCACCGATGCATTCACCTGTTTTATTTATAGCATTAGATAGACGGGGAGGAGAAGGGGAAAGGCAAGGAGGGGAGGTAATGGGAAGTGGAGGAAAACTACCAATAAGATGCAGAGAGAGTTGTAAGATAGAAGGAGGACACATTACAAGAGGGAGCAGCCAAGGGGAAACTTCTGAAATTTAAAGTATTGTAATCAACCAGTACCCATAAAGAAGAACCAAAAGAAATAAGAATATGAAAAATGAAAACAGAGATCACAAGGAAAGGAAGAAAAGAGAGCCCAAGTCCATAACTGAAATTACCAACATAACAATAACAAAGATCAACTCAGTGGTTCCGCTGCCTGCCTCACAAGTGCAAGGTCCTGAGTTTGATTCCTGGTACCAAAACAAATAAGAATAAAAACCTTCATACAGTTGTTATAGCGTTGACTCAGTTTCCGTACAGCTCCCTGTAGCACAGTATGACTGTATGGTTTTTATTATCTGTACGCTTTCCCCTTGTGGGGCAGATATTTGCCTGCCTAAATCCTTGAGAATCTTTGATTTTCCTAACTTTTGTCCTGATTCCAAGCCCTGGGCATGTCCCTCTGCAGATGTCCATGGTGCAATTACTTTTATCAACCTGAAAGATAAATATCATGGCCTTTTCTTTGTCTTCCCTCCACAGATTTCCCTGGCCTAATTTGTGGCCAGAAAGAATACAGACCGGGTGCTGATGGCGCTGATGTGTGTTTCAGCCCCATCCGCAGAAACAGCAGGAGGGCTCTCTGGCTTGACTTTGTTCAATGTGATTATCACAGGACCGGTTTTCCCTTGCTTCTGAGCTGTTCTCAGATTTTGCCTGCACCAGTTTTGCCTTCCCGGGTTGCTCAGCGCCCTCCCACCCCGTCAGAGTCCACGGTCTTGGGTGGGTGCTAAATGTTCCAGGTACAGCACTGTCATGGTATGAATGGAAAAACAGGAGGCTTGCACGGTGGCGGTTGTTGCTGTTGCTGTTGCTGCTGTTTTGCTGGGAAAATCTGTTTGCCCAGTGTGCCCCTGCTCACCACTCTAAAGGTAGGTGTGTGGGTGTTTGGCAGTTTACATGCCACATGTCTCACTTCCCCGTGCCCAGAGAGCAAGAAAGTGTAACTGTGGATCTGCTCACTGATGGGCCCTGCTGCTCCTTCCCTCAGTCCAGTCCTGTCCCAAGATGATGTACACACTGAGTCCGGAGAGGTACATGGGCTACTGTGATTCAGGAGCGGGCTGGTTTCCCCTCTCCCACCCTCAGAACGGTGGCTATTGGCCCTGCTGGAGTGTTTTCACTCACCCTCCTGAATCAGACTACCTCAATCGTAGCACTGAGCTAGTTTCCATGGAGCTCCCCTACACCATGGTATGTCTGATGGTACCAGCATTCACCACTTCCTGAGGGAAATTGCTTTTCTTTGGCATGGAATTGGAGACGCTCTCTTTGGCTGTCAGCCCCTCGTGGCCATCATGTATCTTCTCTGTACCCGCTATTGTACAGAGTATTTTCATTGGCCTAAGGATATCCAAACATCCTCCTTCCTAAACCTTCAGAATCCACTCATCTGTAAATTATCTCTATGACTTCACCTTTTACAGTGTGGTGGATCAAATAATGGTCAACTTAAAACACCCAGCTTACAGGATGATTTTAAAATATTCACCCAAAAAAGTCAAATGCAGGAGAGTGCAAGAAACCTATCCATGCGCTAAAGACCTGAAGAATCCAGCCAAGGGCCTGGATCCCATGACAGTGTCCTTGAAATAAATAAGACACACATGCATAAATACTGATTTGTCTTTCTGGTATGAGAAATTGAAAGTGTAAACGAAGACCAAAATACATAATAGATAATGTGAAATAGGAAGCAAAGGTTCAAAGGGGAAAGGGAAGTGGGCAGGTATGAGAAAAGGGGGAAAAAGAGAAACAAAGCTTTTGTAACTTGGGAGAGGTGTGAGGTAGACAGGAGGAAATAGGAATGGGAAAAACCAAGAACTAAGATATGTCATGTACAGGTACAGGTTCCCAAGATGAATGTGATCATGATGTATACCTAAAATGTACCAATAAAGTTAATTTTCATAAATTCCTTCTTTTTCCTCTAAGGACATTTTTCTTGAACAAATAGAAAGAGCTGTTTGCCCACTCCAGATAGAATTAGGCTGCTGTTTACTCCCTACTTCGATGTCTCTGTTTAGTCTGTTTGGAGACCTCGAGGTTTCTCCAGCCCGTCCCCAGTGGTCTGAGCTTCACAGACCCTGGACCTTCTCAGCACATCTTAAGGCTCTTGCATTCTCCTGAGCTGAAGTTTGAAATGACAGCTTGTAGGAATCTTACCGATAACTAATGTCATCTTTGCTTTGCAATTAGCCCCCGGCTGCCTATCTTCGGCCTGCTAATGTCTGACTTTCTGCCTCACATCATAACGATGTCACCCACTCTCCCCAAATATCATTGTGCAGTGTGAAAACCCACAGCCGACCACTCATACTTGGTGAGTAATCTGAGATTTTAATGTTACCTCTGACTGTCCTGGCTCTATGACTCCAAGGTTGACTCCTCTGAACCTTCCAAAGTATAGTCTCTGAACATTACACTGAAAACAACAACAACAACAACGTGATTTATATCTGTATGAGTACTGCCTCAGCTACAGTCCTAGATAGCAAGTGACTACCTCTAAAATCACTGAGTACCACAGGATGTTTTCGGAAAGGTCCACGTTTCATTTGGTTTGGTTTTTGTGCACATTTCGTTTTGTTTCAGCTTGAATTGGGGTTCATTTGTTGTTGTATGGCTGGGGAGGGGACTCCGGGGGCTCCTGCACGGTAGATACTCATGCTACCCTGGGCCGTTACTGCCCCACATCTGAAATGCCATGATTTTAAAGTAAAATATGAAGCCCAAGGGCTCTTCCTCGTAAAAATCCATAAGAGATAACAGTAGTATTTAAGATAAACAAAGCCAGGTAGTAGCATGAGTGACAATGACAGGTTTGAATCAGGAATGATTGATTGAGCTAGGAAAGAGAGCCCAGAATGACTGAGGTCAACTGTGTTTGTTCAGAGATGAATTTTGTTTCAAAGGGAGGATGCAGAGTTAGGGGGAAGGAGAGGAACCAGGGCCTTAGAAGTACAGAAGTCAAACACTACAAAGGCTTGGTTCTGAAATGGAATTAGGCCCTCCTCAGGACAGTTAGATATGAGCGGCACTCAACTTTGACTTGCACAGATATGAATAGGCATTTTAAAAGCAGTGTGGAGAAGAGGGGAGCAGGGCCTTAGCAGAGACAGGACAATGAGAAATTACCCAGGGTTGGCCAGATGTAAAAGTGATTAGGGCAGCTGCATCTACTAGCGTCCTCTTAAGGAAGATAGGACGCTATCTCCAAGAGACCCTGGGAAACAGATCCTGGTGATTAGATGTCAAAGGAATGGCTTTCAAGTCCTTGAGATACTCGGAGTTGAAACAGAAGCATTTACTTGTTAGAGAAACAGAGCAAGAATTCTCAGTTGTAAACCCTTTCCTTATAAATTCCCTAAGAAAGGGTTGGGGTTGGACTATACTTAGGTTAATTACAATAAATTTTTATAGCAGTCTTACTTCTTCCTAGGGTTGTAGGCTTGAACTGCTAGAAACTGCTAGTGCTTATCCAAGTGTTTTAATGTAGAGGGAGGGAAGTGAGTCAAATGAATTAGTTTGAGAGTTTGTAGATTTTTGAAAGCCAGGTTTAAAGCCTAGTCTAGGAAGAAGTACGGAGGAGCCCAACCAGAGCTCTCTATAAGAGAATCTTTGTCAGAGTCAAACATAAATTCAGGGTCCTAAATTTTCTATGGAATCTCAGGGACTCTGAAAAATCAAAGCAGTCTTAAGAAAGAACAAGTAGGTGGGAGGCTGAGGCAGGAGGATCGCTGTGAGTTTGAGACCAGCCTGGACTATGTAGTGAGTTCCAGGTCAGTCTCAACTACACAGTGAGACCCTGTCAAGCACACACACACACACACACACACACACACACACACACACACACACACACACACACACACACACACACACACACACACACACACACACACACACACACACACACACACACACACACACACACACACACACACACACACACACACGAACAAGTGGGAGTTCTCATACTTCCTTATTTCAAAACTTAACACAATTAAAATAATGCAGTTTTGATATCAGATATATAGACAAATAGAAGTGAGTGAGCAGCCCAGAGATAAATCCTCACCTGTATACTGAAATAGTTTCTGCATTTTCAGTGTATCATAAAGATGTACACAAGGGAACATGTTTTTGTTTTTATTTCGTTTTGTTTTCTTTATGAAATGGGGAACTGTCTTCTGAATTACTTTCCTCATTGCTGAGAAAAAATACCTGACAAAGTCAGAGGAGATAGTTTGTTTGGCTCACAGTCTGTAGAGGATTCAGTGCATAGTTGGCAGACTTCAAGACAGGGTGGCCTGGCAGCGGGGAATCACGGAAGAGAATCAGTTCATGGCAGGCAGAAGGCAGCAAGCTACAGATGACAGGCAACACTGACACTCTTTCTGACCCTTATATCTTCTGCAGGCTACCCATCCTTAGGGCAGGTAGCATTCACACCCTTTAATCCTGGCTTTGCTTCCTTGATTCTGGTATCACACACCCTAGATCCAGACACCTCTATATAGAAGCCATAATAGGAACCCAGGACTCAGAGCCTGGCAGGCAGTCACTATGCCGCTGAGATACATCTCTAGCCCAGTAACAGCAATTGTTAACCTGTACTGGTTTACACTGTTTTTCATGGGTGTTTTTTTGTTTTTGTTTTTGCCGTGAGGGGAGGCATATCTAGGGCCAGTGATATGGGTGGTGAGAAGAATTTACCAAGGCAAGGATGATATAATTTGTTCAGGCAGAAGACATCATCAAGAGGTGTAGTGGTTGCATGCCAAAAGAAGTATTGCACTTTCAAAGTGAGATATTGGGGTTTTTAAAATAAAGGTTTCAGGTGTGCCAAAAGGGTCTCAGCAGCAAGTGAGACTGCCTAAAGAGTGTCTTTTGTGGGGGGGATCAATGAGGTATCATGGATCTCCCAGGATCCCCTGCATCTTTTCTAACGGTATATGTTTAAAGTTCCAATTTGACAAGACCACTTCCTCCAACCTTTCAGAAGACCTCTTCTCTTCACGAAAGGAGCTCTATACAGTACATTTAAACTTCTAGAAAATATAGATGAGGGTTCAGTGAGAGAAATGAATGGATCAAAGATTTTTTTATTTCCTATGTAGTTTTGATTAGTGTTGCTGTATTGTCTTAGGACCACTCCATAAGTATGAGACAGGATGACTTTAATGGAGGAGTTCTACTGCTAAGGGTTTTAATCCTTTTGTTGCCAACGTGTAACCACTACAGTTTTGAATACCAGATGCATCCAACAGACCTATTCCATAGAAAATTATTTGTACATATGCACTTTTTTGTGATACTAGGAAGTGAACCCAGAGATGCTCTTTCACTAAACTATATCTTCAGACGTTTTATTGATTTAATAATTTTTTATGTCAAAACACGATTTTGCTGTTTCTGATACTGGAATTGAATTTGCAATCCTCCTTCTCCAGCTGCCTGAACAGCTTGACTGCAACACACACCACTGCACTTGGCTTCCAAAAACACACATTTTACAAAAGATTCATGATTTCTGTGGAACAGAGATAAACTCACTAGTCTAGACTCATTGAGTCTATTCAAAGACCTCACTCATTTGCATATAAACAGGCAGGTCCTTCTCATGGTTATCATATAGAAATTCTACCTGATGAATTTGTTTTAAGTTTTGAACTTCTGAAGTCATAAAATTGCATAAATATTAAATTGTATACCACATTCTTGTTCAATTTGTGCCATAAATGTACCTTTATTTATTTCCCCATCTTAGAAAATTTTATTATTAGTTAATATTGTCCATAATATTACATTCTTTGGGGGGAATATATAAATATCTGTAATTTTAATTTTTTTCCTTTTTACTCTTTCCCAACCCTACTTCCCAATATCCCAAAAGTCTACTTCTCTAATTCCTCTGACCTCTCCTTTATTTTGCACATTAAATTATTTGGATTTTGTATTTCTGATGTGAGAGAAATCATGATGTTTATCCTCTGTGTCACTTATTTCACTAAACATTTTGATTTCAAGATCCATCACTTTCAGGGCCAGGGAAGTAGCTCAGTGGTGCCACACCTGCCTGGAAAGAGCAAGGTCCTGAGTTCAATCCCTGGTACAACACACACACACACACACACACACACACACACAAACACCCATCATTTTCACATAAATGATTCAAAATTACCCTGCTTTAATGCTGAATAATAATCCATTGTGTATATGTTTCCTTTATTCATTCTTCTGTTGATGAGCATCTAGGTGTTACAATAATTTATCTCTTCTGAATTAAGCTGCTGTAAACATGGGTATGGCAGATATCACTATAACATGATGGCTTTTAATTCTTTTGGGCATATACCCAGAGGCAGTATAACTTGTCCAAATGAAGTTTCTAATTTAATATTTTGTGGAAGCTCCATACTATTTACCACCATCATTATAGTAGTTTACATTGCAATCAACAAGGTAGGAAGTTTCCCCCACAAAATCACCATTTGTTAGTTTTTGAGTTTGAAAATTAGCCATACTTACTGGAATAAGGTGGAATCTTGGTTTTGTTTTAAATTGTATTTCCCAAATTACCAAAGATATTGAATATTTTTTCAGTTACTTATTGGCCATTTGTACTTCCAAGAAATGTCTATCCATTTCAATTGCCCATTTTTCATTTAGTTTTATATTTTGTGAGATTTGATTACTTTAATTTTTATATTTTCTAGACATTAATGTTCTCACTTAAGAATAGCTTGTAATTTTTTTTCCATTCTCCGGATTGTCTTTTCACTCTGTTGGTTGTTCCTTATGCTAGGCAGAAACTTTTTAATATTATATAATGCTATTTGTTCATTTTGAAAAATTATTTATATAGCCGGGCATGGTGGCACACACCTGTAATCCCAGTACTTGGGAGTCTGAGGCAGGAGAATCGCTGTGAGCTCAAGACCAGCCTGGGCTACCTAGTGAGTTCCAGGTCAGTCTCAACTACATAGTGAGACCTTGTCTCATAAAACAAAAAAATATTATTTATGTAATTGGTATTGTATTGAGGGTATTCTTCTCTATGCTTATGTGTTCAAGATTTTTATGTTGTATATTTCAGCAGATTCAATGTTTCTGTTTTTATACCTGCATTTAGATTTTTAAAATAATCCTAGGTGCTAGGGATTTAGCTCAGTAGTGCCATCGCCTGCTGCCTCACAAGCACAAGGTCCTGAGTTCGAACCCCAGTACCAAATAATAATATTATAATAATAATAATAATCCTAAGCGCTGAACCAAGAACATTGCACATGATAGGCAACTGCTATACCAGTGAGCTATACTCACACTTCAAGAGTACTTATCTTAAATCAAGGCAAATAAATTACATTCAATTTTTAATGAGAATACCAGGCAAAAATGCTTAGTTTTTGTGAAACTTTTATATATAGTTTGTTCAAATAATGAAGAAGGCATCTGGCTACCTAATAAGATAGGAATTTGCTTGATCGTTTTTTTGATCTTTTGTAGTAAAAAAGATAATTGAAAATGATTTCTAATATGTAAGAGATACATGAATGCAGCCCATATATAATGAGAGTTCATTTCTATTCTGTACCAAATAAAGGAAAATTCTGTGCGGAGAATTTTATTCCATTTATTTTGCCTCCCTTAAATAATATGATATTCAAGCATTAAATTTGTTTGCATTTGTAGGAAAAACTTTAGAGATTCTCTGCCATTTTTATAAATAATAAATAATCATTGCATTATGAATTTTCTAAAGTGTTGTATTTGTATATTTGATACATGAAATGGAAAATGTCTAGGTAATTTCATTCATATGGGCCAAGGATTTAGCTCAGTGGCACTGCACTTGCCTCACAAGCACCAGGTCCTGAGTTTGATCCTCAGTATCGGAAAAAAAATTTTTTGAATTATATTTGAGCAATAATTATCAATGTCATGAGCTATTTTATTCACATGTAGTAATTGTTCATGTTTCTTGTTTGCAGTGTGAACATTCAGTACATGTGTATATTGTGTAGTGATCTAGTAGTTAGCATTTCCTGTTCCTGAAACTTACCATTTTTTTTGAACTGAGAAGCTTCAAATTCTTCTCTAGTTTTTATAAAATACATAATAAATTTTGGTGATCTAAAATCACTTTACTATGCTGTGGAATATTAAAATGTATTTCTCATTAATCCATGCATTCTGATACCTGTTATCCAACCCCTCTTTCAACCTCTAGTGACAAATATTTTTAATCTCTCCTTTTGAGAAATCAACATTTTAGTTTCTACGTGTGAAAGAAAACATGTGGTACGTGTCTTTTTTGCTAGGTTGATTTTGTGCCATATATCGGCCCTCAGTTTCATCCACACTCCCACAAATGATGTTTTATTTTATGATGCAGTGGCATTCCATTGTGTTTATGCACATTTTTTATCCATTTATCCTTCTCTGAGCACCTCCACTCATTCCTTGCCTTGACTCTTGTGAGTAGTGCTACAATAAATATGGCGGTATGAGACCTCTTGGGTACACTGACTTCATACCCATAGGACATATGCCCCATATTGAGATGGCTATATTTTAAGACAGTTCCATTTTTAGTCTTTTGAGAAAAAAAAAAGCCCATACTGTTTTTCCTAATGCTGTGCTCATTTACATCCTTCCCAACAGTTTGGTGAGTTTTCTATTATTTATATTCCTGCCAACACTTGTTATTTCTCTCCTTTAGATAATATCAATTCTAACTGGGTAAAGGGACATCTCATTGTCATTGTGAGTTACATTACCTTGATGATTACCAGTGCTGCACATTTTTTCATATGCCAGTGGCCCATTTATATATCTTGTTTCCAAAAATGTCTATTCTGATCATACATAGTCAAAAACTTTGCGAGAGTGGCAAAACCATTCAATTTAGAATAAAGCAGTTGTTTCAACAAATGATATTTTGTCTACCAGCATTTCTTGTGTTTGAATCTTAGATCCAGTGTACAGATATTGAGAAGTGGTGAAATGTTTAAAAGATGGGGTGAGGTGGGAGGTACTTAGGTCACTGGGGGCATCTCTTACAGAAGAGATTAATGTCATTCCTCCAGAATCCTGCTTAGTTCCCGTGGGAGAAAATTGCTCTATAAAATGTAATATCTTCGGTTTCCTGTCTTAACAGTCTCATCCACGTACACTCCTACCATTGGAACACCATTCCTTGTAAATCCCTCAGCAGGAGCAGAAAAGATGAAGCTTCCTGTTCTTGGATATTCAGCCTCCAAAATTGTGGTCTAAATAAGCCCTTCCTTCTGAAATGCACAGCTGCAGGTACTTTGCTATAGAAAGGATATTGGGAGAAGCCATACATCCAATGAATGCTTACCTCCTTCTTTATTTGCTAGTCACTCTTTGTGTTTTTATTTTCCATGAAGACCATGAAATGGAAGCAGAAATACTGAGTGAAGTGTCTGATTTGCAAATGGCCACTTTTCCCTGTGTATTCACATGGTCTTTTCTGTCTGTGTGCACCTCCCCATATGTTGTTTTATGTCTAAAATTCCAATGGAATAATGACACCAGATTGTATTAGTTTCCTGACCCTAGTGTCCTCATTAACTTAATAACCTCTTTTGAAATCTTTCCTCCAAACAGTCACATTCTGGGATTCCAAAGGTTAGAGCCTTTTGTGAAATAGATTTCTTTATTTACTACAAGGCTCATGACTGAGACTCCCTAAACAAATCTCCTATTAGGAAGAGAAACTCGTTTATTTAATAGGAATTTTATATGATGCAGGAAGGGGGAAAGGGAATGGAATGAAAAAAAGGAATTGAGATGTGTTATGTACATGAACCAATTCCAAATAAGGGATGTAGTCATTATGTAACCAAACATGTACTCATAAAAAATAAATTTAAAATGAGCAAAAGTATATTGAACACTCAAAGTAGATCGAGGGAAACCCTTTATTATTATGGAAAAAAGCAGGAGAGGGTACACGGTGGTCCCTTTTCCCATGTTCGCTTCTCTGCGTCATTAAAGACGTCATTCCATTCGCATGCCAGGGAAGCCGGAGTCTTAGGAGCAAAACTCGGCTGAGGTGTGACTAAGTGGTCCCAAAAGGCAACTTGCCGAGAGTTACATCCTTCACGGGAAACATGGCTCACAGGGAAAGCTATTAAGAACAACTTATTGTCAGGTGAGAGAGGATCAAAGCCCAACTGTTCCAGACAGTCCTTTCTGCCTCATGATGCTGCATTGCCAACTAATTCTATAGAGATCCTCGATATATTCTTTTCTACAAGTAAAAATGAGGGAGAAATAGATTCATCCAAGCCCTCTCTAAAAACGTGTCCACATCATCACTTCTTAGAGCTCTGTGGCGCCTCTTTGGAATAATCATCCCCTGTCCCTCCCTGACAGTGCTTCCTATAACATACCTTGACAGATCATTGATCACAGCGATCTCAATAATGTTGCCTTTTCCAAGTTGCCAAATATAGTAGCACCTTTGTATGCAGTGGTAGCTCATTTTGGGAAGCGTGACACGTACCAAAAATAATTACCAAACAAATTATTTTGGCTGGAAAGGGTAGAGCAAGTCATGACACAGCCAACACTGACTATTCCTAGCTTCCATGTAGACTACCAAATAAACAGCGAATATGGGGAGAAATGTTCACATCAAAATGAGTCAAGTGCCAAATTTGAAGGGTGTGCAAGCCATGGAGTACCAAGTTATGAATGAAAATGAGATCACTCTGCATGAAATAATGTATGTCTAGTTTTTGCTTATGTAGGGTAATGCTTTTGAAATTAATTCATATTATTTCATTTATCAGGGGGCATGTTCCCTTGCAATGCTGAGTTGTAATTTATTGAATGGACATATCACAATTTTCCCATCTTCTTGTCACTTGCTGGATATTTGGATTGATTCAGGACTGTGGCTATTGTAAGTATTGCTTCTACAAGCATACAGTTTCATTTCTCATGTGAAAATACCTCATGGCCTAAGTTACTAAATGGAATAAAGTTACTAAGTGGAAGAAACTTACTATATGGAATAACTACGTAGCCCACTTTGCAAAAAGTCGCCAAGACTTGTCCAAAGTCTCTGCCATTTTACGTTTCCAACAGCAAAATAGGAAAATCTCTCTTGCTCCACACCCACGAACATTTGGTATTAACAGTGCGTGTGTGAGAGATACCTATATTGCTTGTGTAGGTATGTGTTATGCTAGGGATCAAGCCAGGGCCTTCCATGCTAGGTGAGCACCTCACCACTGAGCCATACCCATAGTCTTATATCTTTTAAATTTTAGACTAGTAGACGTGTAGTGTAATAGTCTAGTAGATGTGTAGATCGATGCATATCTTTCTAATGACAATGGTAGGAGGCATATTTTCTTAGGCTTTTCTATTATCCATGTTATTTAGTCATGTCACACTTTCCATATTTAATATCATATTTAATGCTTTCTTAACGTTATTATCAATAGTATATATGTACAAATGTTTTGTTCAATATATCACTCAGGTGCATCAAGAAAGTATTTCCTCTATGTTTGTGGCACTTCTTGTTTTCTTGTTTTTCAAAGAGAATCATTTAATCTTTATTCTGATTAAGTACAATTTATTTGTAATTTTTCCTGGTTCATGATATTCATTTCCTATCCAATAAATATTTGCTTAACCCATATTGACAAAGTTTAATTGCTACATTTTCTTTGGAAGTTTTACATATTCAGATTTGCTATTTATACGAATGATCAAATTTGAATTAATTTGTGGATATAATGCAAAACTGGACTGGGCATTTTCAGGCTGTTTTGCTCCATAATTCTTGCACCATTAGTTTTTTTTTTTAATTTTAGTGAGTTTATTGGTGCATTTTAGGGATACAGTACAGTTACATTCATTGCTGGGATCTTGTACCTCTACATGACAAGTCTTGATTCTCATTTTTTCCCCTTACCTCTGCCCTCCCTTCACCCCCTCCTCCCCTCCCCATCTACAAACACTTTATTTTCATCTTTTCATTCCCTCACATTTTTTTATTTTCCCTTTTTGCTCTTCCCCTCCCCATCACACCTTCCCTGCACCTTTAGCTCCTTTCTTCCCATTTCTAAATGTCAGTAATCTTATTAGAATCTTATGCATTGTTGCAGATTATTCACACCAGGGAAACTATTCGGTATTTACACATGTGTGACTTATTTATTTCACTTAGGAGTATATCTTCAATATGTATCCATTTTCCTATGAATGAATCTATTTTCTCATTCTTTATGGCTGAGTAATATTCCATTTTATAGAAAAAACACAACTTCTTTATCCAGTTTCCAACGGATGGGCAAATAGGCTGTTTCCAAGATTTAGCGATTACAAACTGTGCCGCTATAAACATGGGTGCACATACTTCTCTGTGATATGATTCTTTTAGTTCTCTTGGAAAGATACCCAGAAGAGGGATGGCTGGGTCAAATGGAACCTCCAGTCCAAGCTCTTTGAGGTATCTCCATATTGATTTCCATAGTGGTTGCACCAGTCTGCACTCCCACCAACAATGGAGAAGGGTTCCTTTCTCCCCACAACCCCGCCAACATTTGTTATTGTGTGATTTCTTGATAGCAGCCATTCTTTGTGGGGTGAGGTGGAATCTCAGTGTTGTTTTCATCTGCATCTCTCTAATGACCAGTGATGTGGAACATTTTTTCAAATATTTTCTTGCTGCTTTTCCTTCTTTGTCTGAGAAATGTCTGTTCATTTCGTATGCCCATTTTTGAATCGGGTCTTTATATTTGGGGGGACTGATTGTTTTGAGTTCTTTATATATCCTTGATAATAGTCCTTTGTCTGAGGAACAGCTGGTAAATATTTTTTCCCACATTGTAGATTGTCTCTTAGTTCTGCTGATGGTTTCTTTTGAAGTACAGAAGCTTTTTAGTAAGATGAGATCCCAGTTGTTGATTCTATCTACTAGTTCCCGTGCTACTGAGGATTTGTTCATAAAGTCTTTTCCTATACCAATGTCTTCCAGAGTTCTGCCTAACTTACCTTCCAGCAAGTTTAATGTTTCTGTTTTAATATTTAGATCTTTAATCCATTTGGATTTTAATTTAGTTGCACCATTAGTTTTAACTGCAATGTGTTCCCCATAAAATTACATTGGTATATCAGTCCAAAATCTGCTAGCTATGTAAATGTAGGTTTATTTCTGAATACTGTACTGTTCTACTTATCTATAGCCTATACATATAACAATACCGCCCCACGGTTACTGAAAGTGTTTTAATCATTGAGACAGGTACTTTATGCTGTCTGGAATTGTTCCTCTTTCTCTAAATTGGTTTGGCTATTAAAAAGCCTTTATTTTGTCATATAAATATGAGAATGTCACTTTCACATATAAATGTATGAGATATTCATTAAAAATTATAGCAAATGTATAAATAAATTTGGAAGAATTGACCTTTTAATACTTCCTATCCATGAGGTTGTTGTATCTCTACATTTATTTAGGCTATCTTAATTAATCTCATAATTTTCAAATTTTCAAGCACAAATTCTGCATGTATGCTAACCAGTTTACCCATTAACATATAATATTTTTGATGCTATTATAAAATACAATTTAACTTCAATATCCAATTGCTCCTTATTGGCATAATGAAAGACAATGATATAAACATATTCAATTTTGCAAGAAAAGAAAATTTAGTGGGACTCATTTAGTAGTATTTACATTGCTACATGTGAGGGATAGCCAAGTTTAATTGGGACAGCTCAGATTAATTTATCCTTTATTCGGTGTGACAAACAGAGATTTAACCAAATAGGCCAAATATGATCAACCAAACATAAATCAAATATTAGTGCTACAGATACAGCTGTGTCTTAAAGTCCTTGAGTGCACCAGGTCCTGGATGTTCCATCCCAGAAACACTAATTAGAGCAAAACAAAACAAAAACAGGTCTATAGATGCTGCAGTTAAGAAACAGGAAAAACTGAGTATTCAGGTAGAAACCAGGTCATGTAAAGAATTTTAAAAATTGAGATTACACAAGGAGAGTAAAAGGTATTTTATTCCCTGTCAAAGTGTTCAGATTTTAGTTTTTGTTGCTGGGTTCTACTTAAGAACATAACTAATATAACTGTAAAATGAGAATTACAACCCTTATAAATTTGAAAAAAATATATGGGCTTAGGGACAGACTATGCAGGGGAAAATATGGGGGGGGCTGGGATATTTGAAAAAAATTGAAAAAGGGTTAGTATTCTCAAGGTAGAACTTTCTTTTAATCTAGATAGAACTCCCTATGAAAGATGCCAGAACCGACCATACATTTTTTTCCATGGAAGGAGACAATTCAGCACCAAGCACAAGTTTGGCTTAAATTAATCTTGCAGAAGTCCAAGCTACTCTATGCTTTTGAGAACCACTGGCCCCCATACTCACAGCACCATCTAACAGCCAATAAAATGGGGGTCCAATGAAAGCTTAGTGAAAAGTTCTGAAAAATAATGATGAGGCAAGAACAAACTGCTGTTTTGAGTAAGATTTTTAAAATATTTCCAAATCGAAATATAATACACAATCAGGGGGATATAATTTATGATTCCCTGTAAAGATACAGGCAAGCCTGGCCTAACCCACTTTTCCTGTCCTCTCCTACATATAACACGAGAGTAAAGTATTAATATGTATCCTTTTAGGTGAATTGATACACAAATACGATGTATAGAATACATCACCATACACATACACATAATTCATATTTAACACATACATAGTTTTGTTTTGTTTGTTTGTTGGTATCAGTTTGTTGGTTGGTACAAGGTAAGGAACGCAGGTCCTTGCACTTGCGAAGCAGGCAGCAGAACCACTGAGCTAAATCCCTGGCCCTAACGCATACATAGTTCATATTTGTGAAACTAGTCAGGTGAGTACTGTGTGACATCCTTGAGCAGTTGTGTTTGGTGTTAATGGGTGTACATTAATTTTTCTCGTCAAATATACATTTAAAAATGAATGGAATCTCTTTGGCTAAATGTCACATTTTCCAAAGAGACGAAGTCTCTGCAGCCGGCCGAGCCTTTAATATCCCGCCGTTCCTCACTTTGACACACTGACAGCAATCAGCACTTCCAGGCCAGCGCCGGCGTCCACAATAACAAACTGCACTACACATCAGGTTTTACCAAGGCAGTCGGACGCGCGCGTCCACAATCCCAACCTGCAATACTCTCAATGTAATCAGAGCTTCCCGATGGGAAGTAAGGCGCGCCGGAAATGCGTCATTTTCCTCAGCCGCCCAAAGAGCCTGCGGTCCGGGATGCGACAGTCTCTTGGTAAGACGGCGGCTGCCAGGGGCCAGTCGATCTGCTTTAGGAAGATCGCGTTGTGAGAGGCGCCTCCCAGCGGGGTTTCCTTTTCGAGCTCTAATTTCGTCTGTACTTTTGCGGCCGCTGTAAATTTCTCACGGGTTGGGTGCGCTTCAGAGACTAACATGTAACATATCTTAAACATTTTTCCTCCTTAGGGTTTTTTTCATTGTCTTAGTTCTTGTTTAAAGTTTTTTTAAAACTTTGAGACGGATGGTGTGGGCTTTTTTTAACCTCAAAAAGTAGTTTTCTCCAACATCCCTTCTTTTTATAACGATAGCACGAGATTGTAATTTTATACCCTTCCCTTTCAATATTAATGATTTTAATTTCATGGGGGGTTGTTTTTTGGTTTTGTTGTTGTTTGCTTGGTTTGGTTTGGTTGTTGTTTGTTTGTTTGTGACACTGGGGATCCAACTCAGGCCCTTGAGTTTGCGAGGCAAGCGGCAAGAACCACTGCACTGAGCCAAATCCCTGGCCCAATTTCATGTTTTTAACATCTGACAAATTCTATTTTTTCAGTAATACTGTACTTGTCATTTTAATGAAATACAGTACTCATTTTT